TCAGTCATGGCGGTCCGCCGCCGTCACCTATGGCTCAGTGGCGTAAGTCCCTGACTCGTGAGAGTCAGGTCGTGGGTTCGATTCCGGCAGGATTCGGCTGGTGCGCGCTAATGACGAGTCCCAGTAGGATGAAACGACCGTCGAGCGCTTTCCTGGATGTGTGGTGACCGCCTGTCCATGTCTAGCTGTGAAGAATCTTAACGTAAACCAAATTAATCCCGTCGCAACGAGACTGGACCTTAACGTGGTGCGATGCTTTACGTACCTTCTTGACCCATTGAGCTATACTGGGTGGTACCTCCGGGCACCTTGAGAGTTACTCCTGCCAGGTTGGTCAATGGTGAGAGGTCAGACAAACTCAGTCTCTCGGTCCTCTAGGTTGGGGGTTTGAAATGTGATGGCGTCCATTTCAGTAAAACTAAATCATTGCCACCTCCCCACTTCCTTGCGGACAGGCTTTTGAGCCAAAGGCTTTGGATGAGGACCCTAATCGTCCTCTTGTTTAGGTCTTGGCTCCGTGGCAGTATTACAGCCCACATACAACCATGACATTTTCCTCCAACGTAAACTTCATCCTGCATTGGCCGTCTCCCAGATTATCAAGGGTCGACTTATCTGCTGCATACAGCAGGGCGGATAAGCGAAAACATGCTACTGCTGACGCCCCCCTTTTTCCTTTTTCACCTGTTTCTCTTACTCCCATCCCGACCCCCATTACTAACCTTCCTTCTATAATTCCCAGCTTAATTGACAGCAACCAAAGTGCCACTGGAGTAGAATCATCTGCAGCTACCATCCCACAACACATATGGACAGAAGTTTCTCATAAGGCCACGCTGTCCCGTTTCCGTGGCGACATTCAACGTTCTCACTCTAAGACAAATCGGTCAGCAGGCTGCACTCGCACGCACTTTGGACACACTGGGTATCGATGTGTGTTGTGTGCCCGAAACTAGGATCAATGATCCTAACGGGGTTCTTGAATTCACTGCGCTCGGCTTGTCCTCTCACTATTGGTTGCACGCATCCGGAGACGCTGATGCAGCACTCCTGAGTCAAGCGGGTGTAGGTATCATTCTAAGCTCCAAGGCTGAGCCATCGTTGGTTGATTGGATTCCGGTGAACAATCGTTTAAGTGCAGCCCGTTTGACGACATCAGCTAAGGTTGATTCACGAAGTAGTACAAACGCTGTTTGTTTGTGATTTCTGCTTATACTTCCACCGACTGCAGTTCTAATGCTGTCAAGGACACATTCCATCACGAACTGAACCTGCTACTTTGCAGTGCTACCAGTTCAGATATCATAGTACTTGCAGGGGATATGAACGCAAAAGTAGGGCGTCTGAACTATTCAGAAGCTCAGCTGAGTTTTAATTATGGACTTATCTCCGAACGGACTGACAACAGCAAGCGTCTGCTGCAACTGTGTGCGGAGCACCAGTTGTTTCTTACTAGCACTGCTTTTGGACACAGTGGGCGCCGAAGTGCCACTTGGCGTCGTCCTGTAGCTGGCCAGCGATGGACCCAAATTGACCACATAGCCATAAGTTACCGGTGGCGTGGTTCCATCCTGGACTGCCGCTCGTACTGGAGTACCTGTGTCGACTCTGATCATGCCTTGGTACGCTGTCGTTTCTCCATGGAGTTTACCGGGAGGTGCACCAAGCCTCTCCTCCGATTAGCAACTGAGAAATTGTCTTAGTCCTAGGTCAGCCAAGCCTATCAAAACACACTGCATACCGAACTTTCGCTGTCTTCTAATGATATTAAGCTTTAGTGCAATAGGATCTCGGTCGCCATGAACGACGAAGGAGCATCTGCTTCTGACACTGTCCATCGTCACCGCACCAGTCACTGGATAATCCGAGAGGTCGGTTAACCTGTTGGAATCTAGACGAAACCTCCCGGCTGGCTTTGAGCACAATGGGACCAGATGGGTTATTAGGCGTGAACTAAAGTAGAGCCTACATACTGACAAGGAAGCCTGATTAACCAGTTGGCTGAAGAAATGTAGGAGGCAGAAGCTGTAGGCAATTGCCGCAAGCCTTTCCAGCTGCTCCGCACCACAAGTCCCAGGAAACCAGGCGTCAGTGAGACAATCAGAGACAGTGCGGGTGCACTGATATACAATAAGGAGCGCCGTATGACTCTCTGAGCGGAACACTTTCAAGATCAGTTCAGCTGGCCCTCCCATGCTGGACCTTTTTTAACTCAGGTGATGCAGGATGAGCCATGGGCGGTTAGTTTAGAGTCTCCATCGGAGGCCGAGGTCCGAAACGCGATCACAGTCCTCAATCCTTTTCTTGCCGCTGGCCCAGATTCTCTCCCACCTGCACTATTTTAGGATGGAGGTGTGGTCCTCTGCAAAGCACTGACCTATCTATTCGAACGTATCTGGGAGGAAGAGAGTGTCCCGGCTGATTGTATCGAATCGATTATAGTGGTCTATACTCGAACACTACAGGTCGCGTTAGGATCTACAGTGTCCTGTCGGATAGCTTTCCGACCGCAAGTGGCGTTCGTCAGGGTTGTCCGATTTACCCATTTTTGTACAATTTCGTCGTGGATTCTATCATGGAGTGTTCCCTTGTGGAATCTCACGATGTAGGCGTTGAAGTGCTGCCTGGTGAAAGGTTAGTTCATCTTGATTATGCGGACGATATCGTCTTGCTTTTCGACGATGTTGCGGCGGCACAATCACCTCTGAATAGCCTGTCTAGAGTGGTCTCATTATTTGGTATGCACTTCGCACCTACAAGGTGCAAAGTGTTGCTGCAGGAACACCAGCCACTTTATGACCCCTTGACCCTTCCCAACGAGGAGCTCGAGGTGGTTGATCAATTCACTTATCTTGGCAGCTGCATCAGCAACGATGGGCGCATAGAAACTGACGTCAGCTCACGTATTGCAAAAGCCAGAGCTGCCTTCTTGAACCTGCGGCATCTTTGGCGACAGAAGGGAGTTTTCCTCCGTCTGAAAGGCCGTGTATACAAGGCCACAGTGAGGGCTGTTCTGCTCTATGGTAGTGAGACTTGGCCTGTTCGGTCTGAAGATCTGAGGCGCCTTCAAGTCTTTGATCATCGTTGTCTGCGAAGCATTGCTGGTGTCGGATGGCACCAGCGTGTCCGCAACGATGATGTGCGTAGGCGAGTACTAGGTAGTGATAATCATGCTAGCTCCCTAGAACAACAGATTGTACTGAATAAGATGCGTTAGCTCGGGCACGTGCTACGTATGCCTGGTCACCGCTTACCTAGGAGGGCCTTGTTTAGTCTGCCAGGTGTAGGTGGCGCAAGGCTCGAGGTGGACAGAAGTTGACTTGGCGACGTGAAATGAAGTCACTGACGACCAAACTGGGTGCCGTTGGTCCGTCTCGCCTTCCGGGCTGGAGTCCACGTGACTCGCCTTGTGCTTGGCTCGAGACTTTACAGGACATGGCTCGCAGTAGACACCAGTGACGCGTCTGCTGCCGTTTTCTAATTGGATTGCCTGTTTAAAGTGTGTTTGGTGCTGAGTTATTTGCGGGGTACTAGCTGATTATGACGTGTGGCAGTGGAAGCCGCAAGGAAGTTGTCTCGCCGATGCCGCCTTATTTTTGCGCGTTAACCAGCTGTTTGTGACGGTATGTTGTTAACACAAGGTGTAGGCGCCTTGACCCTGAATGTTTGCTTAGGGCATTAAGGTTTTCCGATAAGTTCCCCTTCTCTCCCTTTTATTATTCTTTATTCTATTGGTCATGATGGTTGTATGGCAGCGAAGCATCAATTCAAATGGCTGATATCCTGCTGTTTTGATGATGATATTGATGAATCCCGTTAGTACTTTCTGATGTGGATTTGTTGCACTAGTCTCTCTCTCCCTTTGACCATGCCCTACACTCCATGGTTCCTCGGCTACATCGATTGCGTTCTTTATCTATTACGAAATGGATTTGGCTTCTACACTTCCCACGCTTGAGAATAATGGGGGGATGCGTTGTGCAGCTTGTTGCAGCGGTTTTCAGCGACCCCCGACGCGCCTTATCCGCATATTCCTGATTTTTGCTACTGTTTTCTAATTTCTTTCTACTGGATACTTCTGGTGAATCGGCCGATGTAGTTCTCCATGCTCTCCGCCGTCTGTTGTGCGTTTTCTGCCCATAAGATTCCTCCTGTGACAGTATGATCAGGATGCAACAGCTTTTTCTTACTGTCTTCTTTCACCGTTTTTCCTCCCTCCTGAGACTGCGTGACCTCTTGTCGCTTTTCAACAAACTTGAATCGACATCGGTGACCACCGGAGATTTTTCCTCTCTCTTCGTTTGCTTTTTATGTGGCGGCTTAGTGGGGTGTGCTTAAGTCACCTTGGTAGTAGCGGCAGCCATTTTTGTGTCCTGCCTTATTCTTTCCTGGTATATCCAAGCGGCAACTTATAGGCGTGTGTAGTCGTTAGGTGTTCGCCGTGCATTATGCTACGTTTAAGCAGTGTAGTGGTACTCTTCGTAGCGATGCTTCGGTGTCATGTAGGAACTAGCAGCTACACATAAGCGCTTTGACACCGAATAACCGGAAACGTAAAGTTACACTTGAGACGCATGACGCACTATACTCCATATTTTCGATCTTCCAACATTTTTGATTGCAGCTACCGAACCACTTCTTTGCTTTTTTACCTAATCTTACAGCGTGCAATAGTCCCCCCATATACTCGATTGTCGCACTTTTCCATTCACACATTTCATCTCATGTTTTGCGACTGATTCTCCTTTTTGCACCCTATCTACTAATTAGAGCATCTCTTTCATTTTTTGACGGCATCAATCGATCGGTAGATGTTATCCGAAGTGACTCGTACACTCTTATCTGGTGATTAAAGCCAACTTCCCACCTTGTATGTAATTTCTGTTGGCTTCTGTTCCTCGTTTTCTCAATCCCTTCTCATCATTAGGCTTCATTTGCATGCTTGTTGGTCATCGGACAATACCTTGGAATCTGCGACTTGTACCACCTTTTATCTTCAGAGTTTCCTCAGACTCTTCCATTTGCACTTCTCTGGCGGCTTACCATTCTACGCCTCGTGATCCCCACTCTGCCTATCTGTATGACACTCAACTGACGTCTCCTCCGCGCCCAGTAACCTCCGTGTTACCTCACGCACATTCGGCGACACGTTTCGGTTGCGGCTATCCTGCTGCTGCTGGTACAAAGAAGCCGGAATCATTACGCAGGCATTTCCCCACAAATCCCATTGCTAGCTCTGCCATGTATGCTGTCAACAGTTCCACTAGACCGCCGGATCATTTTCCATTTAGCTGCGTGGAGCACCACAGATCTTCTGAAGAGCAACATCTACTTCCCCCGAAACGACCTTTCACCTCCTCCTACAAGGTGGCTCCTTTGTGTTTGACGAATGCCACAGGTCACAAGTATTTCGGCATGTGAGTCTCAACCCTGATGAATATTTTTTTATATATTTCTCGCTGTTGCCGTTCACATTTTGATTTTTCCATCCTCTTCCTCCCTATTCTCAGTTGAAATTTACAAACCTCCGTTATACGACTTCGTGGCCGCTCTGTCTTTCACATCATTACCCGTCTAATCACGTATCACCCCTCATCTCAGTAATTTCTGCCCATATATATATATATATATATATATATATATATATATATATATATATATATATATATATATATATATATATATATAAGGGACTCGTCAGTAGCGCGCACACGCCGAATCCTACTGGATTCACAGTTGGTGGCAGCTTGCCAAGGAAGTAGTTGCTCTGGGGGCGAGCCCTGTCCTCTACACATTCATAACATGCAAGACAGTGGAGGATGAGCCGCGCTATATCGCAGTTAGATATCCGTCGTGGCGGTCCGCTTCCTTCGCCCATGGCTCAGTGACATTAGTCGCTGAATCGCAAGGGTAAGGTCGTGGGTTCGAATCCAGCAGGATTCGGCGGATGCGCGCTATTGACGATTTTCAATAGGAGGAAACGGCCGTCTAGCGCTTTCCTGGATGTGTGGTGGCTGTCTGCCTGTGTCTAACTGCGACGAATTTACACAAAAACCTAATAGATCCCCCTACGACTTACAAGTAGTTTTTACATTTGGTTGCAATGCGCTCGTCGGCCGATCATGCGCGGCCCTTGTTCCAACCCCTTGAAATCTGGTTGGAATACCGAATAAGAGACTTCCACTACGTGTTTAGCTAGATACTGGATAAATCCGCGCCATGAGACCGCGGGCTTTTTGACTGCTTTTCTCGCGCGATTTTATAGTCCAACCTACCCCATTCCTGTGATCTGGTTTTCGGTTCATTCTTTATTGTCTTGAGGCTTCCTGCATCTCTGGCGTCAGAAAAGAATGTCCTCAGTCTGAATGATCGTGTATACAAAGCCGTAGTATGGTTCGTTCTCTTTTAGTGAAGCGAAACTTGGTTACTTCGCTCTGAGGATTTGAGGTACCTTCAAATCTTTGATCATGCCTGTCTATGGATAGCGATTGTGTATTCACTGCGTTTGAGTTGGCGAGTACTGGATGGTAAATGTCAGGCTACTTCCATAGTGCAACAGATAATGGTGAATAAGTGGCGGTGATTTATCGCCGTTCTATCTTGGCTGCTCGAGACATGCATAAAAGGCATCGAAAATCACCAGTCAACATCTTGGACTCTTACGGAGAGGTTTCAGGAATTTTGAGCCATCAGTCTTTTCGCAAATGCTGAACGCTTACGTGAGGCCTCACGTGGAATATGCGATCCACGCCTGACGTCCCTGGCTCAAGCGCGACATCAATGCACTTGTAACTCCACAAGGTAGAGTAACCAAACTCGTTACAGGATTGTTTCATCTCTCTTATCAGCGCAGACTGCAGTCCGTGAGATTGTACAGTGGTGAATATCGAGGTCAACGAGGAGACGTAATCATGGTTTGCTTAATACTGACGAACCCTATCCACCCATGCCGCAATCTTTTGCAGATGAGCCAAAACATAAACCTGAGAGGTCATCAGCTCAAACTAACTACGCACTACAGTCGATTTGACTGTCGACGAAACGTTTTCTACCTCCGTGTATCCCGTGCCTAGAATTCCTTTTCGACTCACGTCATCCTTGCTCCTACATTAACGCTGTTCTAAGAACGCCTTGATGACAAGCTATCCAACTTGTATTATTTGAGGTAGTTTGTTTCACTCGGAGGACGAAAGAACGCGAATCAAACTATGTGCCTAACGGCCCTCTCCACAACGTGGCGATGAGGATACATGCAGAAAGTCCTTGTGAGTATCATGGATGTATCTAAACTGGATTAATGTAACGCATCTGCTAATTGAAGCAACACACGAACGGGCGTTGTCGCTTCCCAATTTTCTTTTTCACGCACCTACTGAATTATAACAGCTTTCTATACTATTCTGTGTGTACACATCCCATTTCCATTTCAAACTATTGTTATGCAGCAGCGCATTGAACCTGGTGGACACTTGAAATAACGATTTACTTATTCGATGATCCTCCAAATTTTAATTTTTACTCCAACCATCCTACTGCACTTGTCAAGCCCACACTTTTCTACCCGTGATAAATCATTGTTCATTGTCAAGCTACCGGTTTTCCCAAACGGTCGTGTTACATGACTCAAGATGAGCAAAAGTTGACTTGGCATCCTGAAAATGAAAACACTTACGACAAACTATGCTGGAGTCCACCTAGTCCCCACCTTGTGCTTGGCTTCAGAGGTTACCGATTCACTTCGGTTGAATAACTATGTTTCGAGCACCGTAGTGCGGCAGACCCAGATGCACGACATACATCGCAAGAATCACCATAAATCATCATCAGCATCCTCCTCCTCCTCATCATTATCATATACGTTAGCTAGATGTGGGAAACACCTCACCTACTGTGCCGCAATACATAATAGAAAAAAGAAAATAACTGCAACAGTTGCAGGCCAGCTGAGCTACCAGCAACGGATAGGCATCGTTCCGGTAACCTATCAGCCGGCTACAAGGCAACAAGAAAAATTATTATGTAAAATTATATTACGCTACCAAATGAGCTCGTGGTTGGAGGTGGAGGCTAAAAAGGATGGGGAGGGACAAAGAAACTCACATCAGGAACGCCACTGAGGTCGGCTCTTAGTCATGTAGGCAAGTGTATCTAGCCTAAGGTATTCATCGTCTTTTGGACCCTAACCAGGGAGCCATGACGTTCCAACCGAGGCCAGCTCAGAAGTGAGGGCCTTCATTCCTCTGGACCAAGTTATCGCTTGGCCACCCCTCCTCTTCTTCCATCCACAACCCCAGCGAGCAAACAACACACATCGCGGTAGCAGGTGGGCTGGCATGCGTAACACATGGCCCATCCATCGGAGCCTGGTGCGTGAAATGACGGTGCTGAGCGGTTCAGTTCCCATTCCTGTGCCGTAAACAAGGCGTTGAACACCCTCGTTGCTCACTCGGTGTTCCAGCTAGATGTGAGCAAAACTTCGAAGGCTCCGGTATTCGAACGTAACTAGCCACTTTATGTCGGCTGGTCTAACGGGCCTGGTTACACAACTGTACATAAAAGTCGAACGTACCGCTGCATTGTACACTCTACCCTTCAGGGCAAGAGTGATGTCGCGCCGGCGCCATAAGTGGCGATAGTTAGCAAAAGTACCTCGAGCTTTTGCTGTGTGGGTTATGATCTCATCCTTAATCATAAATTCGCTGATACAACTTCCCAGATAGTTGAATTTTTGAACGATTTCTATCTGATCCCCACCAAGAGTTGGTGCGGGAGGCAGTCCAGGCAGATTTTGTGGGAAAGCTTTACACTTCGAGGGTGCGAAGCAAAGCCCGAAACGGCCAACTGCTAGTGCTAATCTGTCCAGTGCAGCTTTGCATGTCTGGTAGTTTCGCAGACTAGGGCAATATCGTCTACATACTCCAAGTCAAGAAGTCGTTCTTCTAGGAGTGGCTCCACACCTTTTTAATCGTGTCCTGTAAATGCAATCTCCATGAGTTCGTCAATTGCGAAGTCGAAAAAGAAAGCTGACAACGGGCATCCTTGTCTTAGATCGCTGCAGATATTGAAGGGCGACGACAGCTTGCCCTAGGTGTTCACTCTGCCCATGTTACGCGCGTATAGTGCGTGGATAATATTGACATATTTCTCGGGCACACCTTTCCTGAGTAGGCAGTCCCAAAGTGCACATCCATAAATCAAATCGAAGGCACCTTTGATGATGAGGAACAGGACTATGGTGCTCCGACGATTGACTGAAAGTCAAGATGTCGACGCATCCCCGACCACGGGGAAATCCGGTTTTCTCCTCATGAATTTAGCTTTCACGAGCTTCCAGTCATTTTGCGAAGGATTAAAGTGTCAAAGCGACAACCTAGGAAACAAGGTGATTACTGGTTGGTGAGGAATCTAACAATTCCGGCTAATTAAATTGTTTTTCAAAATGCTCAGCCTAACGTTCCAAACGTTTTGACAAATTGTTTATAGGTCGTCCACTCTCGTCACGTATAGTTTCACTAACACCAGATCTTCTGCTGCCCGTTTCCGTATCAGACGGAATAACTTCCGATGATTGCTAAGGGCAACGGCCACTTCTATCTCTGATGGACCAAGAGACCACCAGAGTTCGCGGTCTCTCTTCCGGCTAGCAGGGAGTTTTTCCCGGAGCTCTTTGGGAGTTTCATTGTCCGCTTCCATCCGCAATATGCCGGCGAGTATCGATAAGTTCCGGAGACCACCAAGGGACCCAATGTCCATGTTGGCTATTAGACTTACCACATGAAGATTTGCCCGCTGCTAGTAAGGTCTGGTGAACATGCGACCACTGACCTTCAGTCGTCTCCAGTGAACGCTTACTCGACCCGCATTTCAGCGTATTTCGATACGCATACAGAACAGCTGGCTTCGCCAATTGACGGGTGTCAATGCGCTCATAGCGTCCTCGTTGACGTCCGCCAAAACGTATCCGCATGTCAGCATACACGAGTGCATGGTCGGTGTCCACACCTATGTTCCAAATCGAGCGAGCAGCCTCTCCAGCGGTAACTAATAGCAGTGTGATTGATCTGCATTTAAGGCTTGTTCGAGGCTGGTGAGCTCCACCTCACCCTCCGGCGGGTGCTTTGTCTGAAGTTAGTGTTTGCAAGAAATAAGCGGGCATCTTCATACAAATGAAGTAACCGCTCATGGTTATCATTACGGGAGCCTACACCGTGCTGGCCGCCCAGATGCAGTTCAGCAATGGATAATTTTCCAACTTGGGCGTTCAGATCCCCAGCCAGCACATCAGTGCCCGTGCTTCTTCTGTGGCAAAGGAGCTCGGTCAGTTGGCGGTGGAAGTTGCTTTTTTACCGAATTTTCGCTACAGTTTGTGGGCGGGTAGGCATCATCATCATCATCATTATACACATCAGCTAGAGGT